AGTGTCCCCATCCCAGTGCTCCCAATACCCCCTCACCTTCCTGCCCCGGCTGTAGTGGGGCCTGATGCCACCTTGGTATGTCCCCAAGGGTCCTCAGGTGTCCCCAAGTGTCCCTGAGTGTCCCCAGTGCTTCCCAGGTGTCCCCAAGGGTCCCTGAGTGTCCCCAGTGCTCCCCAGGTGTCCCCAAGGGTCCCCAATGCCCCCCCCAGTGTCCCCATCCCAGTGCTCCCAGTGCCCCCCCACCTTCCTGCCCCGGCTGTAGTGGGGCCTGATGCCACCTTGGTATGTCCCCAAGGGTCCTCAGGTGTCCCCAAGTGTCCCTGAGTGTCCCCAGTGCTTCCCAGGTGTCCCCAAGGGTCCCCAATGCTCCCCCAGTGTCCCCATCCCAGTGCTCCCAGCGCCCTCCCACCTGTCCCCTGCAGCCATGGTAGACCGTGATGCCACCTTGGTATATCCCCCAGTGTCTCCTGGTGTCCTCCAGTGCTCTCCCAGTCCTCCCAGTGCCCCCCAGTGACCTGCCCTGAGTGTCCCCATAGTGTCCCTGCCCTGTAGGTGCCCCATGACCCAGTCTCCCAATGGCTTGGGTGGCCTTGTTCCTTGGGTGTCCCCTCCGTGTCCCTGGGGTGTCCCCACCCAGTGGGTGCCCTGTCCTGTGGTGTCCCTGTGGTGTCCCCATCCCAGAGTGTCCCCATCATGTGGTATCCCCCTGATGTCCCCATCCCATGGTGTCCCCATCATGTGGTATCCCCATGGTGTCTCAAGAGTGTCCTGTCCCCTGATGTCCCCATCCCATGAGTGCCCTATCCTGTGGTGTCACCAGGGTGTCCCCATCCCATGGCTGCCCTGTCCTCATGGTGTCCCCATGGTGTCTTGAGGGTGTCCCTGTCCTGTATTGTCCCCAGGGTGTTCCCATCCCGTTGGCCCTGTCCCATGGTGTCCCCATGGTGTCCCCTGGGTGTCCCCATCCCCTGGGTGCCCCATCCCGTGGTGTCTCTGTGGTGTGTCCAGGGTGTCCCTGTCCCACGGGTGCTCCATCCCATGGTGTCCCCATGGTGTCTCGAGGGTGTCCCTGTCCCATGATGTCCATAGAGTGTCCCCATTCCCAGGGTGCCCTGTCCCTAGGGTGTCCTCAGGGCGTCTCTGTCCCATAGTGTCCTCAGGGTGTCTCCATCCCATGGGTGCCCCATTCCATGGTGTCACCAGGGTGTCCCTGTCCCATGGTGTCTCCATGGTGTCTCCATCCCATGGGTGCCCCACTCCATGGTGTCACCAGGGTGTCCTCAAGGTGTCCCAGTCCCAGGGTGTCCCCATCCCCTCAGTGCCCCATCTTATGTTGTCTTTGTGGTGTCTCCAGGGTGTCCCTGTCCTGCCGTGTCCCCATCCCTTGGGTGCCCTGTCCTGTGGTGTCCCCAGAGTGTCCCTGTCCTGTGGTGTCCCCAGGGTGTCCCCATTCCATAGGTGTCCCATTCCATGGTATCACCATGGTGTCCCCGTCCCATGGTGTCCCAGGGGTGTCCCCATCCCCATCCCATGAGTGCCCCATCCCGTGGTGTCACCAAGGTGTCCTCAAGGTGTTCCAGTCCCATGGTGTCCCCAGGGTGTCCCCATCCCCATCCCATGAGTGCCCCATCCCGTGGTGTCACCAAGGTGTCCTCAAGGTGTTCCAGTCCCATGGTGTCCCCAGGGTGTCCCCATCCCATGGGTGCCCCATCCCATGGTGCCTCAAAATGTCCCTGCAGTGGCACCCACTGATGGGACCCTGTCCCCGCAGAGATCCCCTCGGTGACACCGCGCTTGGCCACCCGCAACCAGACATCCTTCCGTGTGACCTGGCCACGTCCCCTCGTGTCGGTGGACGGCTACCAGGTGGCCCTCATCCCCCTGGTGAGCTGGGGACGGGGACAGGGGTGGAGACAGGTCCCCAGCGCTGCAGTGGCCCCAGTGTGGTGGCCCCAATGTGGCCCTGACGTGGCCTTCATCCCCATGATGATGTCATCTGTGGCCACCCACTGCTGCCCCACTAGGAGACACCATAAGTGTCCCTATGGTGTCCCCAACATGTTCCCAATGTGCCCGTTGTCCCCAGAGCAAGCCAGTGGTCAGGCCACCTCCTGCTGCCTAACTTGGGGATGGGGACATCTCCCCATAATGTCCCTTGTCCCCAGGATGAGCCATGATGGTGTCACCCATCTGCTGCTTGGCTTAGGGATGGGTTCCCTATGGTGTCCCCAATGCGTCCCTTGTCCCCAGGATGAGCCAGCAGCTGTGGCCACCCTCCTACTACCTGGCTTGGTGACAGGGATGTGTCCCCAGCATGGTGTCTCCAGTGTCCCCAACATGTCCCCTCTCCCCAGGATGAGGCACCTGGCTGCTGCCACCTGCCTGCAGCCCTGCTTAGGGACCAGGACATGTCCTCACTGTGGTGTCCCCAATATGTCCCTAGTGTGTCCCCAACATGTCCCCCAACCCCAGGACAAGCCATTGGCTGCAGCCACCTGTCTCCTGCCTGGCTCAGGGATGAGGAAGGTGTCCTCACCACACTGTCCCCAGTGTGTCCTTCCGTAGCTGTCCCCAGCATGTCCCCAGCATGTCCCCAGTGTGTCCCCCAGCCCTGGGAGAAGCTCTTGGCTGTGGCCACCTACCTGCTGCCTGACTCAGGGCCAGGTCCCCAGCCTGTCCTTGGCATGTCCCTTGTCCCCAGGATGAGCCGGCGGCGATGACCACCCATGAGCTGCCCGGCTCTGCTGTCACCTTCGAGGTGACGGGGCTGGCACCGGGCCATGCCTTCGAGCTCTTCATCCAGGCTCAACGGCAGCAGCACCTCGGGGCGCCCAGCACCCTGCGCATCCGCACCCGTACGTGTCACCCACTGAGCGCGGGGACTGCGAAGGGATGGGCATGGGGATGGGGGACACCATGGGGATGGCAATGGGCATGAGCATGGGGACAGGAAGGGGGACAACATGGGGATGGTGACGGGTGTGGTTGTGGAGACAGGGGTGGGGATGGCACATGGATGGGGACGGTGATGGCACGGTCATGGGTGGGGGGACAGCGATGGGGACAGCATGGGGACAGGGGTGGGGATGGCACAGGCATGTGGACAAGGGTGACACAGGGATGGGGACAGTGATGACATAGTGTCATGGGCAAGGGGACAGGGCTGGCATGGGGACAGGGCTGGGGACGGCACAGGCATGTGGTTGGGTGTGGCACATGGATGGGGATGGGGATGGCATGGTCATGGGTGTGGGGACAGCAATGGGGATGGCTTGGGCATGGGGACAGCATGGGGATGGGGTGGGGATAAGGAGGGGGAAAGGGATGGGGTGGCATGGGCATGGGGACAGGAGTGGCATGAGCAGAGGGACAGGGACAGGGATGGAGATGGCATGGGTATGTCAATGGGGATGGCGTGGTGGGGGGACAGGGACAGTGACGGCATAGTCATGGGGACAGGGGTGGCATAGGCACAGGGATGGGGACAGGAATGGGGACAGCATGAGGACAGGGATGGGGATGGCACAGGGATGGGGACAAGGATGGCACAGGGATGGGGTTGAGGACGGTCATGGCATGATCATGGGCATGGGGAAAGCGATGGGGATGGCTTGGGCATGGGGACATGGATGGGCACCGGGATGGGAATGGCATGGACATGGGGACAGGGATGGCATGGGGATGGGGAGAGCATGAGCACAGGCATGGTGACAGGGACAACATGGGGATGGTGATGGATGGGGACAGCGTAGGGATGGGGATGGCATGGGGACAGGGACAGCATGGGGACAGGCATGGCGAGAGGGATGATGCAAGCGTGGGGATGAGGACAGCACGGACATGGGGACAGGGATGGGATAGTGACAAGCATGGGGATGGCAGAGGGATGGGGATGTCACGGCCACAGGGATGAGGACAGGGACTGGCATGGGGACAGGGACTGGGATGGGCGTGGGGACAGGGACATTGCCTGCAGCCTCTGTCCATCCCCATATGTGTGTCCCCATGGCTCTGCGGGTCCACATACGTCTGTCTGTCCTGGTGGATCTGTGTGTCACCGGTCTGTCCCTGTGGGTCCGTGTGTCCCCTTGGGCCCGTCTATCTGCGTCTGTCCCTGTGCGTCCCCACGGGCTCATCTGTCCCCAGGGACTCATCTGTTCCCATGGGTCCGTGTGTCCCCATGGGTTCATGTATCCCCATGGGCTCGTGTGTCCCCGTGGACTCGTGTGTCCCTATGGGTCAGTGTGTCCCCATGGACTCGTGTGTCCCCACGGGTCAATGTGTCCCCATGGGCTTGTGTGTCCCCATGGGCTCATCTGTCCCCATGGACTCGTGTGTCCCCACGGGTCAATGTGTCCCCATGGGCTTGTGTGTCCCCATGGGCATGTCTGTCCCTATGGGTCAATGTGTTCCCATGGGTCTGTGTGTCTCCATGGATCAGTGTGTCCCCATGGGCTCGTGTGACCCCATGGGTCAATGTGTCTCCATGGATTTGTCTGTCCCCATGGGTTCACATGTACCCACATCCCCTGGTGCTTCCCCGTGTGTCCCTCTGTTGCCTGGGTCCAGATGTCCCCAGTCTGTCCCTGTCAGTCCATCTGTCCCAGTCTGTTCCCATGAGTCTGGGCATCCCCAGTCTATCCCTAGTCTGTCCCTATGCATCCGTCTGTCCCCATCCCTTCCCATGTCCAGCCATCCCTGTGTCCCCCATTGTGGGTCCCTGGGCTCTGGCAGACGGGGACATTTGGGGACAGGTTGATGACCCTGCTCCCCTTTGCTCTCGCAGTGCTTGCCCAGACTCTGCCCACCCATGGGGGGTCCCCAGGGTCCCCTCAGGGTTCCCTGGGGTCCCCGGCATCACCAGTGGCCCCAGCATCACCATCAGCCAGAGGGTCTCCGGCATCCCCAAGGTCCCCAGTGTCACCAGCATCCCCGGGGTCACCAGGGTCCCTGGGATCACCGGCATCACCAGTGTCACCGGATGCATCCTTGGGGTCATCAGGGTCTTTGGGGTCACCGGCATCCCCAGCATCTCCAAGGTTTCCAGCGTCCCCAGTATCTCGAGGGTACCCAGGGTCCCCAGCATCGCCGAAGTCCCCAGTGTCACCAGGGTCCCCAGTGTCACCAGCGTCCCCAGAATTCCCGGGTTCACCAGTGTCCCCAAGATCCCCAGAGGCACCAGCATCCCCAATGTCCCCAAGATCACCTGCATCTCCACGGTCCCCAGCATCACCACAGTCCCCTGTGTCACCTCCATCTCCATGGTCCCCGGTGTCCCCAGCATCCCCACTGTCCCCAGTGCTCCCGGGTGGCCCATCTCTGCATGACCTTGGGGCCAAGTTGTCCACCTACAATGGCTCCTTGCTGCAGCGCCTGGAGAGCCACCTCCGGGCTACAAAATTCCCCCTCCGGGGCAACCAAACAGTGCCAGCGGTGGCCCGTGCCATCCTCTCTTACCTTCTACGCCGCAGCCCGGCCCCGTTGCGTCACCAGCTCCTTCGCCAGATCCCCCATCCCAAGCCCCAGTTGATGCCAGGGGCCGCCGGCGAGGCTCTGGTGGACCTGGATGGGCTGCGGGGCCATGCAGAGACCGTGGTGATCCGTTATCGGCTCCTGGAAGAGCCGGAGGGGGCCGAGGGGGAGCTGCAGGTGCCAGGGGACACAGCGGTGGCCCGGGTGCCAGGGCTGGTGCCAGGGGCCAGGTACCGGGTGGAGGTGCACGGCGTGGTGCGGGGGCACATCTCCAAGTCCTACACATTCCTGGTGACGGCAGGTGGGTGATGGGGATGGAGGCAGGGACAACATTGCACAGGGACATCCCATAACCATCCACTCCTCTTTTGGGTGCAGGGGTCGATGGCACCGATGAGCCCCCGCTGGACTGGGAGCACATGTATGAGGTGGAATTGACTGAACCCCAAGGTGTCGTAGCCAAAGCAGGTACCATCAGGTGGTCCATGGCAGCAATGAGAGGGACTCACGTTGACCTGCTTTTGGTAGACAAGTTGGGGGTGGTTGGATGGTTGGGATGGGAGATTGGATGGTTGGATGGATGGTGGTTGGGTGTTTGGGATGGATGGATGAATGGTGGTTGGATGGTTAGGATGGGTGGGTGGGTGGATGGATGGATGGTGGTTGGATGGTTGGGATGGGTGGGTGGGTGGCTGGAGAGGTGGAAGGATGGATGAATCATGGTTGGGTGGATGGATGGGTGGAAGGATGGATGGATGGGGGTGTGTCATGGTTGGATGGATGGAAAGATGGATGCTGGGATAGGTGGATGGGTGTGTGGGTGGGTCACAGGGACAGATCGATGAGTGGAAGGATGGATGAATCATGGTTGGATGGATGTAAGGTTGGATAGATAGATGTGTGGATGGGTGGATGGAAAGTTGGATGGATAGGTCTGTGGGTGGATGGGTGAGTGGGTGGGTAGGTGGATTCAAAGACTGATGTAAAGAAAAGTGAATGGAAAACCAGGTCATTGAATAGATGGAAGCCTGGAACCTTGAATCGTCAAATGAGTAGACAGACAGATAAAGGGACTGATGGATGGAACTACAGACAAATAACAGAATAAATGGACAGTTGGATGGATGGGTGGATCAATGGGAGGAAGGGGGGATGGTTGGGTGCTTGGATCGAAGGGTGCATGCTTAGACAGATGGGTGAATGGACAGATGGTTTAGCAGAAGGATGCATGTGTGGCTGGATCTTCATGTTCTGCATTGTGCCATCTCCATTGCAGTGCCAGCCCCACCGTTGGAGGAACCACCACCCCGGCCTCGCCTGGGAGAGCTCACAGTCTCCCATGTCAGCCCTGGCTCTGTCCAGCTGGAGTGGAGCGTCCTCGAGGGCACCTTTGACTCCTTCACGGTGCAGTACAGGGATGTGCAAGGCCAACCTCAGGCACTTGCGGTTGATGGTGGTTCCCGCATGGTGACGGTGCCTGGGCTGTCACCGTCACACCGCTACAAGTTCAACCTGTACGGGGTGTGGGGTCGGAAACGGATTGGTCTTATCTCCACCGAAGCCATCACAGGTGAGGGCATCATCTGTGTCCTCTGCGGGCGCTGGGTTTGGAGCAAATCAGGAGCCTTGGCAGCTCCTTTGACCTTGAGGGATCTGGGAAGAGCATCTGGCCCTCGATTTGGGGGTGGGTGTGGGTGCGTGCAAGGTCAGAGGGACGGAGGGATGTTTGTATGGAAGGGTGGATGATTGTGTGGGTGGTTGATTGGGTGGTGGGTGGATGGATGGTTGGGATTGGATGGGTGGCTGAATGGTTGGGACTGGAAAGATGGATGGTTGGGATTAGATGGATGGATGGGATTGGAGGGATGGATGATTGGGACTGTGTTGATGGATGGTTGAGATTACATGGGTGGATGGGATTGGATGGGAGGAAGGATGGATGGGTGGATTGATGGTTGGGATCAGATGGATGGATGGATGAGTGGATATATCGATTTTTGGATGGGTGGCTGGAAAAATGTTTTGGTGGACTGATTGATGACTGGCTAGATGAATGGATGGAAGGATGGATGGATGGAAGCATGGGTGGTCAGGTCGATATTCAGAGTGTTTAATGAATGAGCAGATGGATAGTTGCATGCTTGGATAGTTGGGTTCCATGAATTAATGTGAGGAGAAGGGTCATGGAGAGATGATGGGTGACAGGATGAAAGGAAGCATAGGTGGGTGAGAAGACACATGGATGGTTAGATGGATGGAAGGACAGGTTTCTGGCAGCCTGGCTGCCTGAATTGCCTGACAAAGGGATATTTGGATGGATGAGTGGATGGGTGGACAAACAGGTAAAGAAATGGGAAATGGATGGAAGGGGGGATGGTTGGGTGAGTTGAGTGACAGGTGGGTGATCTGGTGGATGAAGGGACAGACAGAAAGATGGATGGATGGATGGATAGATGGTGGTGTGTCCACAGTGTGTCCTGCATTGTACTGTCCCTGTTGCAGCCCCGGCCCCACCAAAGAAGGAACCACCATCCCAGCCCATCCTGGGCGAGCTGACGGCCTCCCATGTCAGCCCCGACTCTGTCCAGCTGGAGTGGAGCGTCCCCGAGGGCACCTTTGACTCCTTCACGGTGCAGTACAAGGATGCACAAGGCCAGCCCCAGGTGGTGCCCGTGGACGGTGGTTCCCGCACGGTGACGGTGCCTGGGCTGTCACCGTCGCACCGCTACAAGTTCAACCTGTACGGGGTGTGGGGTCGGAAACATCTGGGCCCCATCTCCACCAACACCGTCACAGGTGAGGACGTCTGTGGACCATTTCTGTGTCCCCTTTGGGTGCTGGTTTTGGGGTGGTGGCAGGTGGTTGGGCAGGGCTTATGCTGGTCCCTTGGGTCTTGTGGGAACTGGGAACATCCCTTGGGTGCTAACAAGGGTGTGGGTGATGGGCTGAGTGCATGCAAGTTTGGAGGGTTGGGTGGATGGATGGATGGATGGATGGAAGGATGGATGGAAGTTGCTTCTATGCTGTTGTGGCTATTTGGATGACTGGATGGATCCTTGGCTGGCTGGATCCATGGACCTGTGAGAAATTGGAACAAATTCTTGCCACTACATGCGGGATCAATGGAAGGATGGGAGCATGAAGGTTGGAGGGATAGAGGGACAGACTGATGGATGTGTGGAGAATGGATGGATGGATGTTTGGTTGGTTGAATGGGTGGATGGACTGAAGGTTGGTTGGCTGGACAGATGGATAGACAATGGAGGGTTGTATGGATGATTGGATGGATGGAAGGATGGATGGACAGTTGGGTAGACTCATGTAGTCAGGGACAGAGGAATGTGTGAGTAGATGGAAGGGAACATGGCTGGGTGGGCAATGTCTGGAGGAGTTGCAGCGTTGCGGGGATATATGTTGACTGGGTTGTTGGATGGATGGATGGTTGGATGGATAGGCAGTTTTATGGACGGAGGACTGGTTGGATGGTTGGAAAGATGGGTGGGTGGTTTGATGGAGGGAGACATGGTTGGATGGAAGGATGGTTGGATGGTTGGATGGATGGTTGCACAGTTGGACGTATGGAGGGATGGTTGGATGGATGGGTGGGTGGGTGTTTTCTGGCTGGACAGTTGGATGGTTGGTTTGATGGTCGTTGGACAGTTGATGGTTGGATGGTTGATTCTTGATAGTTGGATGGTTTTACAGTTGATGGTTGGACAGGTGATGGTTGGATGGCTAGGCAGTTGCTGGCTGGACACCTGGATGGTTGGTTGGAGCAATGGTGTGTTGGCATCCTGGGTGTGGTGTCTCTGGTGGGGAGAGTCCCCTGGGGGCTGTGGTGGGGGACCCTGGGGTGCTACAGGAGGGGTCTGGGGGTGGGGGGAGTCCATGGGAGTTTCTGTGGGGTTGGTGGTCAGAGTGGGGGTGTCCAAAGAGAGGTTCCTGGAAGTGTAGGTGAAGGGAAGCTGGTGGGCGGGTCCTTGGGGGGCTGGGGGGTGGGTTGGGGGTGTCAACAGCCATGCCCCTCCCCCACGCAGGTGCCCCAGGGACCCTCTGGGTGGGGACTGTATGGCCCCGCAGTGCCAGGCTGCACTGGGCACGCCCCCACACTCCCCTTGATGGCTATGACCTTGTCTACGGCCCCCCCGGAGGACCCGAGAAGGTAACACCCCCTCCCAAAGCACCCTGAAACCCCAAAACCCCCCTGGGGACCCCAATAATCCTTGTGGGACCCCAATACACCCCCCCAGACTGCAATAACTCCTTGGAGACCCTGATCCCCTGTGGGGACCCCAACTTTCCTTGTAGGACCCTAATAGCCACCCCCAGGGACCCCATTAACCCCTTGGGGACCCCAATACCACCCAGGTGCACCCCAGTATCCCATGTGGGATCTCCAATACTCCCTTAGGGCATGCCAGTGCCCCCTCCAAGACCTAAATAAGCCCCTGAGGACCCCAGTAACGACCCGGGGACCCCAATAACACCCAAGGGACCCCAATAACACCTGAGGGATCCCAATATTCCTTGTGGGACCCCAATACCAACCCAAGGACCCCAATAACCCCTTGGGGACCCCAATATTCCTTGTAGGACCCCAATATTCCTTGTAGGACCCCAATATCCCCTGTGCACCCCAATATCTCTTGTGGGACCCCTAATACTCCCTTAGGGCACCCCAATACCCCCTGGTACCCCAATAAAACCCTGAGGACCCCAATAATTCCCAGGGGACCCCAGTAATGCCTTGGGGGACCCCAATATTCCTCTGTGCCCCCTCAGACGCTGCGGCTGCCCCCCGAGGCATTGTCCCATCAGCTGTGGGGCCTGGAGCCAGCAGGGCGCTATGGGGTGCAGCTGTGGGGCCGAGGGGGGGACACCACCCCGACCCCCCTGGAGACCACCTTTGACACCCGTGAGCCAGAGGCCTCGGTCCCTGGG